ATGCTCTTGGAACACGAACGTTATTATGGCTTGGGCATGCACGCTCTGGTCACCGCATGATCTTGGAACACGAACATTATTATGGCTTGGGCATGCGCGATCTGGTCACCGCATGATCTTCAAAGGCGAACGCTATTATGGTTTGGGCATTAGTCTTCTTTCGGCGGGCATCGTCCTTGGCTCTCTGCCGCACTGCCTCCTCTGCAGCCAGGTTTGCTTGCCAGTCCCGCTCCATGGCCAACTCCACGCGTGGAGTTGGCCAGTGAGTCGAACAACCTTCGGAGTCCATGGCAAAAGCTGCTTTGAGGCCCAGAGGTCTGCGGGCAAACATGGTGCAAGTTCTTGACGTAGCGGATTGTGTGCAAACCCAGACAAGGGGCATATGCATGAAATGCTGCCCCCACCTGTACTATTCAGGCCTCTCTAGGTAAAAATGCATAAAAGTATTGCGCCTGCCAGCACTTTTGCAGTCTTGAAACCCCCTCAAGCTGCACGCGAACCAGGCTCTGGAGGGTACAAGGACTATAGTATTTTGAGGTTTATATTGGGGTCCAGCTAATTTCGGGAAACTACTATATACCTTAGTATCACAACTCTATAATACAACGCTACGTGTGACTACTCTGAAAGCCCTAAACCCTACTTCCTAAGCCCTTAGCCAGAGCCCTCTGGCTTAAAACCCTAAACCCTAAAACCAGCATTGCAGGTTCCGCGATGTGGCTTTGGCAATGGTGCGCTGAGTCTCAGCCTTTCCTCCGCGATAGATTTTAGGTTGTCCCTCGCCCGCTACTGGGGTACCTTTAAAGGGGAAATATAGGGGTATGTAGGTATCATTAAAAGGGATATATGGGTTATGTAGGGATATTTAAGATTTAGGGTTTCCCACATTAGGGGTACCATTTTGGCGTTCGCCATATTAAGGATAGTAGACTGCGTCCCCTTGCTTATGTAACCTGCCATGTAAGGACCCTATTATAGTGGTCGCGATTTGTGGGCCGGGGAATCACCTGAGCTAGATGTGTCAGAGATTAGCACCCTCATTTTGGCTTACTTGCGGTCAATAGGGAATGAAGGAGGGTAAGGTTTGGATGTTTATAGGGTCCTAAGCCCTAAACCCTAAAGGGAGATATGCAGGGCCTATTGTAGGGATCCAATACTCCAGCCTGAATATTTGGTGATAGTAGCATTTTATAATCCCTATAAACGAGTAGTGTACTTCTGCACCTCAAAGCCATATTCAAATTAAGTTAGGCACCAGTAAGTTTGGCTAGTTTCAAGAAGTCGCAGCTGGGTTCTTTCCTCTAAGAGGACATCCGGGCCTGCAGACTATTTAGCATTCGTCTGGTCCAGACCAGCCGCTTCTGGTAGTTTCCAGAGACCAGGACGCCCGAGGTATATGCAAAACAGCAGGGTTCGCCCTAGGCCCTCTATACCGCAACATTTGGGGTTTAGGGAACCCTTAACCCTGGTCCTAACCTCTTGCAAAGGCCTCCAAGATCTGGAAACTCCCTTATGGACGTCCAGTCGACATTGCGGGATTGACGTGTTGAAAAGAAACAGCCTTTGACGGCAATATTGGCATGATTATTGCGGAATATGCCGGGACTGCCATAGGGATCCATTCTTTACTTTCTGCTAACTTGGGTTTAGGGCTACAGCCCTAACCCCGCAACCCTAAACTCTAAATAGTAGTTTCCATTTTAATTTCCATTATCCCAATATATCCCCAGGATATACCCTACAGTCGGTATATAGCCCCTAGTAGAAGTAGGGTTCCCCAAACTGACTCTGGCGGAAGCCTTCAGAGATGTCTTGGATCCAGATTCCTGACGCATGCGGGACCTCAGCTGCTTGGGCACTAGAAGTCTTGCTGAGTTGGCTCTGGGATTCTGTTACACAGACAGCACAAAAGCAATGCACGCTGCTTTTTGCATCCGGGATCAGGCCTCCTCTGAAAAAAGGAGAATTACGGCAATACTTACGGCTTGTGCATTGAACGAGCAACTGGTCATAGCATTATTAACAGAAGGTCTCATTTGAGTAGTATTTTCTATGGGGATACTATGGTACCCAATATAGAGTAAGATTATATCCTCCTTTTGGGGTATAGAATTTTATATAAGGCATATAATTTTACTAGGTCCGACCACCAAAAAAACACTACTCATTTTGCGAGTAAAGCCAACCAGAGCAGGACTCCTGCATCCCAAATTCTGCAGCAGTGGTAAATAGAATATGGCTTTGAGTATATTATAATGGGGGTTATATTGGGATAATGGACAAGAAAATGAAGACTGCTATTTAGGGTTTTGGGTTTTGGGTCTATAGTCCCCCCTTCAGGAGATAGAATATAGCGTAGGCCACGGAGCGACAGCATTTTCCATTTCCACATCCTGCGTGCCGATCATCATCTGGGTATAGGTAACAGCAAGCCGTCATTCTTACCTGAGAAGAAATGTTAAAGATATATGTATTGGATAAGCAATGCTGCAAATTCTTATGCTTGTTCCATGGCTCTGTGAGTATGGCTGGCAATTTGCACAGGGGGGCTTGCTTCCCTTGGATAAGTGAGTCATCTTGCGGTATACGTTTCAAGTTTCATTGTCCAACATGTCGGATACTTCCCGAACGTCTGATGTCATTTTGCTTGTTCAACGCCGCCGTCAAGCTTGGAATGCTGAGGACTCCACTTAGCGAGCCACAGCCTTCACGGAATTCCCTTGTTTGAGGTGCAGTTGTCCAGCTTCCGTCACTGAAGTGTCCACTTGTCTTGAACCAGGATCGAGGTCTGTTGTCCCACAATGCGGTGTAGTCGAACAGGAAGTCTCATCGCAATTAGGGTTCGTGAGCAAGCACAGGCATGACCTCCAAGTCAAGCGCTACCAAGACCCGTTTCCAAATGGCGGGTTTGTGATGCTTATAGTCCCCCTTAAGTAGACAGAATCTGGCTTTGGGTATATCATACTAAAATCCCCATATACCCCATATTCTATCTACTTAAGGGGGACTATATGCCTACCAGCCATGCCAGTGTCAACATGACAGCCATTGCTGCTCAACACGCCTTCTGTACAGAAGGGGGCCTAGCCATGCTCCCAATGCGGCACTTGCAAAAGCAGCGCGCGGCTCGGCGAAGAGGCACCTGGAGATCCAAGTTGCCCAAAATCATCTATGACTACTATTATCACTGTTGCTATGATAACGGGTTTAAGTTTCTTTTCATGGACTACTATGCCAGAACCTTTGTTTTTCTTCTGCGTGCGCTCTTTCTCTGGCGACTATCAGTTTTTTGTTCTGCCCGCTCTATTCGTAGACCCTAGGAACAACTGAGTAAGTGAGTGCGTGGAGGCAGGCGAGCGCATGCGCAGCGAAACAAAAGCGCCCAGGGCCATTAGTTGTTCTTTGCTTCGCATGCGCCGCGTGTTTTTCAAGAGAAAATGATATATTCTCTAGAGATTGAGATTTGCACCAGAGAGCCACAGGCAATTGAGTGAGTCAGGGGTGCAAGCGCGTGCGGAACAAAAAACAAAAAAGCGCCATGGGCGCCTTTTTTTGTTCCGCATGTGCTGGTTGGTTTTCTGAAAAGAAAATGACACGGCCTCTAGAAATTTTCGGAGAGCCACAAGCAAGTGAGTTAGGCCAGGCGAGCGCATGCGGGATGAAAAAAGCAATTGAGTGAGGGCAGGCGAGCGCATGCCAAAAACAACAAAAAAAAAGCCGCCAAGGGAGCTCTTTTTTTTGTTCCGTGTGCGCTGCATGGTTTTCGAAAAGACTGGGATTTCCAACAGACTGCCAGGAGCAAGCGAATGGGTGAGGGAGGTTTTCCAAGGACATAAAGAGGCAACAATCAAATCTCCCAAGAAGCGCAGATTTTGCGGTGTTTGCCCTTAGGGTCCAGGTACCCAATAATCATATTGTACTTACCATTACTTACCCAAAACCTGCACTATAATTACTATTACCCAAATCCCAAGTACCCAATTATTGGGTACATGGACCCTAACCCCTAAACCCTATATACCCCTATATATCCCTACTATATCCCCTTTAAAG